CAAAGCTGCTACCAGAAAAGGTTATCCAATTTAATCAAACTCACGATACTTCAGTTCAAGTTACCAAATATTGTGCATAAACCAATTAGCCAACTGAACATGACTAGGGCAGGTGAATAAGTCCCGAGCCCTCTAAACTTCCCATAAGGTCATCTGGAACAGTATTAGCACTTGACTCAAGGCTTAATATGGGAAAAGTGAGCCATTGAGAAGCCACACACTAGCCAGGCTGGCTTTGGGGAGAAGAATTGGTTACTCCTGTATGGGTAGGACCATTGACTTCTGTGGTGTACAGCTTACACATACTCTAGGCTTTAAAGCTCTGAAGGAAGGTTGGCCTTGGTTAGGGCATGGGGGTTGTGTGCCCAAAGTAACCAGGACATTGATCCAGTGATTCTCCAGGGAAATCTTGGCTGACTCTTTGTGCTCCCCAGAGGCCATCTGCTGCTTTTCTCAAAGAACTTGCTGCCAGCAGCCTGTCCTGGGAGTCTTGGCACTCAACAAACTCCCCTTCAATCTAAATTATCTTGGATAAAGGAAAATCCTAGCCATGGGTGAAGTAGACTCTTTTCCTCTTTTGAATTTTGGGAACATTTTATCCACCTGCTATAAAGGAAGTTTCGTATGTCATTTTCCCCCCAAAAGGAAAAATTCCACTCAAAATAATCCTCCCCCAAGAAGTGAGCATTGGTTGGGTATCATATACTCAGTGGAACTGGCAAGCATAGAGGGTCTTAAGACTGCATGTGTACTCAGAGCCTGCCAGTTCTGTGACTCATGACATGGCAGAGGCTGAGTTGGCAGCAAAGCCCTGTCCCAACCAAATGTCTCCTGCCTGCACAGTCTAATCCTCTACCCACTTCTGAAAGAGTGTGGTCTCTGGAAGCTCACACAGTCTCTTCCCTGTTTAGTTACATTTCTTCATTTACAGATGTTCAGGTTTGCCAGTGTATAAGATGCTTTTTAAGTGCCATATGCAAAATGTGAATTTAACCATCACTGTCATATTTGATGAGAGAACCTTACTCTAGCGTGTGACTTTAACAGCGACACACTTGCAGAACTCTTTATTGACCCTTCTCTTCCTCTCCAGCTCTGATGTTGGGGTGGAAGGAAAATTAAACTGTGACCTGAATTCTACAATAGTGCTCTTGGATCCAACCACTTTTTGACACAAATTCTCTGATCGTGGTAGAGTGACCCCTGGGCACTCCTTGCCTGTGCCTATATCCAGCTTTTGCTCTTGCTGTTCTCCTTGCCTGGAGTTCCCTTCCTCCTCTCTGCTAATCTAGTCCCTTACTACCCTTAGAGGCCCCCCTGAAGTACATGATCCCAGCTCTACACAATCCTTCATTTGTGGAATCATCAAGTTTGGAGGTTGGGAAACAAAGTGTGGACTGCCAACTGGACCAGGCCCATCATGTAATGGTTATCTTATTCATGAGAATGAATGTGTGGCTGGAGCCCAGATTGTCAGCCAATCGAAAGGCAGTTGTGGGGTTTAGAATCTATGCACATGGATTAAGAATAATGTTCGGTATGCTAGGCTGCTCAGAGAGCAAAAGCAGCAGAATTTGACATACACGAAGAATCTTAGAAAGTACTTTAGAAATCAGCTTTCATTCTTTACAAAAGATCCTGAAGCCAAAGGAGTTAGGTGGCATTCCCAAGGTCACAAGATATTGAGAGACAGAGCCAGGACCAGAGCTCAGAGAATGCAGGCTTCCAGAAATTTCCATCTGTATTTCATTCAGCTATACAAGCATTAGGATGTATGCAGAGTTTCTGACTCAATAGACTTCAAGAATCACGTTTTAACAAATACCCTAAGTGTGTCTGATACACAATAAATTTTGGAAATAGCAAGTCTCGGTTTTCTGGTGAATTCTCATTGTTGTGTCATACGGGCTGGACTATTTAATTTGGTTCTTATTTATCATTTTTAACATTTTGTGATGTGTGTGTACGTATGCGTACATATATAGATGAATTTTCTTTAACATATCAAGGTTTAGGTGTTCTCCTTTTCAAAATTCTTACTTTGAGAGGCTCTGCCATTATCCCAGTGGCTCTTATGGAATTTACCTGAAAGAATTACTTTCAGAGCCTAGGACGCTTATCATCCATGCATCCTTCTCCTTTTCCTCCTCCTCTCTCTCCTCTCCCTCCCTCCCTCCCTCCCTCTCTCCTTCCCTCTCCCTCTCCACCTCCCTTTCTTCCTTTCTACCTTCCTTCCTTCCCCTCCCTTCTCTTTCTCTTCCTCTTCTTCTTCTGGTCCTTTGTGAGTTGATTTTGTTATTTTAGGAATAACAAATTGTTCAGTGACTACTTTAGGAAACAAGGTGGATGATCATAGTGGACCACATTAGATAAAATTATGATGTGATGGCGAAGTAATGAGATTAATTTTCTACACATAATTAGTGAATATCTATCAAGGGCCCACTATATACACCACCCTAATCCAGGAGTGAGCAAACTCCAACAGCTCAGAGTCTTAAAACACAGCAAAATAAAAAGATAGTGCAATGCCTGGAGCCAGCCCTGCTGCTGAGATACACAGAGGAACTTGAGGAGTATCTGGAAAGTGCCTTTGAGTCCAGGGCTGACAGTAGAGAGGCTGCAAACTGGTTCTGAGAGAAAATGTTCGAGGAGGAACCCCAGATATGTTTTGAGCAATGATGGGATTGTGGCATAATGCATGGCTCCTCAAGGTAGAAACTCCATTTGGAAATGTAAAATCGTTTCATTACAAAACAAATCACTTTGTTCTATAACCATATTTTAAATGTCTAAAACGAGATAATGAGCCATTGGAGTTTGTGCTGACATTGATCGCTTGAAGATATCCTTAAGGCAGCCTATCTAAAACCCAACTTGGAATCACTCTAAGTGAACCCATTTTTCCCTCAGTGCTTTCTACTCAATAGCTCAAAGCAGAGTCCCATGAGCAATCCCTGATGTCTCTTTGATCCTCTACTCTTGTCTGATCAATCACGGAGCCTGTCCACTTTACTTCCTAGGTATTTTTTGAACCATTTGCTTCTCTCCATCTCTACTGCCACCACCCTGATTCAAGCCACCGCTGTTTCTTCCTTAGATTTGCACAATCACCTCCAAACTGCTCTCCCAGTTTCTGCTGTGGATCCCCTCCAATCTATTCACCATATTATAGGCTGAGAAATCTTTTTAAATGCCAATCGGGTCATATCACTTTCACTCTTAAAACAACGCTCTTTGGATAAAGATCAGCATCCTCTGGATGGCCTAACGGTGTTGAATGATAAGGCCTTTCTTTACCCCTCAGCCAAATCAGCAGCCCCATAGCCTCTGTTCTTTGTTGCAACCACACTGGTCTTTCTGTTCCTGAAACTTGCCGTGCTTCCTTCCACCTTGGAGATCTCTCCCTCCTCACTTCCTTCCCGTGGTTAAATGCCTACTCACTCTTCACCTCTCAGTACTGAGTTCCCACACTGAACCACACCCTTCTGTTTTAGTCTCCTAGTTCCCTGAGCTTTGTTTTCATGACACTTATTACAGTTTGTTAGTTTGACCATGTAATCATTTGATTAAATTCTTTCTTCTCTACTAGACTATAGGATTTATGACATCTGGGCCCATATTTGCATTTGCTTACCATGACTTCCTGGGGACTAGCATTGTGCCTGTCATCTAGTAGATGCCCAATAAATATATCCAGCTAGAAGGAATGTATTGAATCTTTCAGTAATGCAAAAAGGGATATATCTCTGGAAGCACCAAATAGTAGAAATAAGTTCTGGTTCAATAAAATCCAAATAAACACAAGTAGTAAGTAAACAAGGGTTATGTGGCATGCTGTATTAAATATGTACACTTCTAGAGAGATACCCTCCTGATACACACACAAAAACTACTGACAAAGCAAGAAATATAATATGTGAAAATGGAGGCAAGAATTCTTCCCCCCAACTTTTATATCACATATATATACACACAAATATACATAATATATATATACACGTATTGAAAATATTATTTAATGAACCATGTGTACCCACTGTTTAGATACAATTATTGACATTTTGCTATATTTGCTTTATATCTTTGTGTGTGTGTTACAATTTGAGTAAGTTACATTTATCTCAAAGAGATAATTCAGCAAATATCTCCTATGTATAAAACCTTTTACCTGCATACTTACAAGATCATTATAATCTAAGAAAATATGCAGTAAAAATAAGCAATAATGGCTAAAGTAATCTAATAGCCAATCTAAATTTAAATTTCCCCAGTTGTACACAAAATGTCTTATAGCTGTTTGTATCAAACAAGAATCCAAAGGTCACACGTTGCTTGTTGTTGTTGTGTTTCTTTAGTATCCTTTAATCTACAATAGTCCCTTGCTTTTCAAAGTTCACTACATTGACTTTTTGAAGTGACTAGACCATTGTGTTGGACTACAATCCATCCTGGATTAGTCTGATTGTTTCCTGTTGGAGTTACTTATGTTGTTCTTCTATTTCCTGCAAGTTATGTTTAAAGCCTTGATTAGAACTAGGTTAGACATTGTTAACAAGAAGATCTCACAGATGTTGCTTACTACTGTACATTGCATCTCAGAACATTATTGAGAGGGTTCTACTATTAGTGATGCTAAAATAAGATGGCCAGATCCTTCCATTGTAAAGATTTCTCTTTTTTCTTTGCAATTAGCAAGCAACCTATGGGATGACATGTGACACCTTGGAACTAGCTTTTCCACCCCAAAACATTTTATTCAACAGTGTTGGCCCCCATTGATGTTCCTTGTCTGAATCAAAGCTTTCACGGGTGGGGTGTTAGACTGCGAAATGGTGATTTTTAAAATTTCTATCATTCCTTCTACTTTAATTAGTTGACATTCATTTGTAAAGAGAAGCTTTCCCACATCAACTGGGGATAAGTTAAAATTCCTCTTTAAAGATGCTAAAATGGTTAATTCTTTGTGAGAAATATTCCAAGTGGATGAGTCAACATACCTTAACATAGCATTTGGAGTGGTTGTTTCAAGGAGTTGGCTCACTGGTGATCTGCAGGAGTGCATATGCCCAAGCCAATTATGGTGCTGTGGTCAATGATCCGTGAATTTCAAATTCTAATTAAGTCTTGACGCTTTAGGTTAGAATGATGCAAAAGTTCATTAAAGATTACTGAGTCTATACTACCTATTTTGAAAATACTGTATCTGTGTATTTAGTCAATTATTGTTGTAGGTGACCAAGTAAATTCTGTGCATTCTTAAGAAGGCTCGCAACTCAATATTTACATAAACAGCCTAGAATGGGTAGAATATCAAGTAATTAATAGACATTTTTAAATGACAAAAATATCCATATTTAGGAAGTTAATTATGTATTTATGTGATATGGATGGATGGACAACTGATAGGTATTTTTTAAAGTTCATTGTTTCATATCTTTGCAGAGACTTACTATGGTTTGTAACAAGCCATGATGGTAGACTCATGTCACGTCACCTTTGGCAGGCAGAGCAATGGGTCCCTCTTTTCATCCTGACTAGCATCCAATGAATTTCTCATTCGGGCTTTCCCCTCCTTCAAAGAGTTGAGGGGAATAAATCTACGACAGCCAAAACTGTGTGCTGAAGGAAGTGTCATGCTTTCAACTCCCTGAATTCAAGCCGGAAACAATAGAAACCCAGAGTCAAGAATGGCAGCCTCTCTTCTGGTTCAGGATGTTAGAATTTGTAAGTGAGGCACATTCATGAAAATTAAAATGAGGCTGTCAGTTCAGATGGGAATCCCAAAACAGCTTTTCTCACTTTTTCGCTTATCATCATTTATTGAAAACGGACTTCTTGGGAATTTATTATTTATTTAGTTTCAGATATCTCTATTGTCTTTCATCTAGAGGCATGGTATTTTTTAGAAGGTTTAAAATAGAAGATCTGTGTGTACCACAGGCTATTTTTTTTAAGTTGTATCAATTAGCATGAGTTGCTAAAAATCCCTGAGTAAAATAAGAAAAAAATTATTTCTTGAGCTGATTATGTGCTCTGTGGTGTGCTGATACATTGATGATAAAATAATGAATTTTTGATAAGTAGCGTTATTCATCAGAAGAAATCTGATCTTTGGCACACAGAGAGTTGGTTGACTTCAGGGATGCAGGAGAAGCAAAAACCACAGTCCCCTTCAGCAATAGTTCTCGCCACGTAACTTTTGTATATAATGACTTAATCGAAATTAATTTAACTGACATTTATAGAACTGTATTGGTCATGACAGGCTAGGCAAACTGCAGAAATAGACAACTCCAAAATCACAGCGGCTTACTCCAGCAAAAGTTTGTACCTTGCCTACAGCGTCAGGTACTCTTCTCATGTTTTACCTGTCTTATGTTCTTTAATGCTTTGAATGGCTTATGAAGCTACAGCATTATCATCATCCCCATTTACAGATAAGGAAACTGAAGGCTGGAGAGATTAAGTAAACTGCTCAAGATTGCACAGCTGGAAAGTGGAGCAGCTGGGCATTGAACTCAGGCATCCTGAGCCTTCTCTCTTCACCTCTCCACTCTGCTTCCTCCTGGTTTAGGCATGGGAGCCAGGGAACAGTTTGATGCAAGGGAAAGAAACAGGCTCATCAAGGAGGTATCTGCAAGTAGGGATGACACAGATGTGCACACAGCTAGGTTGGAATCTTATCTCTGCCAGTTATTAGCTATGTCTTTGGCATTACCTGTCTGGCTTTAGTTTCTTCATCTGGAAAATGAGAGTGAATAAAATCTATTCCATTGTGTGTGGGTGGGTGGGTGGGTGTGTGCGCAGACACACACACTCGTGAGCCTGAGAGAGAGGAAGCAGAAGGTCTGATACTTAATAAAGTTCTATTGCCTTGTGATGGTTTCCTTTCAAATTCCATGCAAGAGCATTTTAAGTGGCCTTTTAGGTTTCCAAATTATGGATTTTGATATCTGTATGTCTCTTCTCATTCTCTACTTACATTCTCCAAAGCAAGTTTTTTAAATCACTGAGAGAGCCAAATCAAATCTGTGCTCCGAGAACACGAGCTGTCACCTTGCATAACCGACGTCCTCAGGAATAATGATGGTGTGAGGACTAATCTATGTCTTATAGAAAGAGAACTTTACAAAAATGACTCTTTCTTTTCCTATTGTGAGGTAAAGACAAACTCAGTCTACAAGCATTCAGATACTTGGCTATTTTCAGTGACAAAAAAATCTCCAGGGGAGAATTTACATCAGAAACTCTCTTCTAATAGTTCTGTCTCCAATGCCCATTTCTGAGGTGGTTATGACTTTTATGAGCCTTGCATTTGAACCCGAGGCTGAGGCAGACAAGAGGCCCCTCCCTTCCCCCAGGGGCCGTATTTGTAAGCCCCACACCTACCTCCTATCCAGAAGTCCTCCTGACAAGAATTCTGGCTCAAACAGGTGTTCTTCTGTTTCCTCCAGGATTAAGTATAGAGATGTGAAAGCCAGCAAGGTGGACATGACTGCCTTAGGACCTGAGTTTGTTTCTCAGCTATCCAGGCTTGGTTCATCCAGGGCCTCAAAATATGGGGCAGAAACCTGGCTTAGATGCTGTTCATTGTATTAGAAAAAGGATAGCCAGTAGAAGGAAGGGGAAGAATTCTTCCCCGGAGCAGTCTTTACCCAGGGAACAGACTGTTTGGATCCTAAGACCTTAGGAGGGAGGTTTTACTGGAAATTGGCCAGTTGTGGCTATTGTGTGTTCCTCAGATTAGAGAGCAGATGAAAGTATAATTATGTTGTTCTCATTCTTCTTAAGTTAAAAATAAAGAAAAAACCTCTCACATCTAAGTATTTGGTGAGACTGTCAGAAGAACAGACAGCTGAGGCTTTCCTTAATTCCTCTATCCCAGCTCCTCCACTGGCACTTCATGTGGTCCAAAGGCCAGTGATTCATACTTCCAACTAATTCATCTTGTCCTGTGGGGAAGTATTCAGTTTGAAGTGTCCTGAACATGCTTTCAGCGGAAATAAATTTGAGTGCAAGATAGATAAGTCTGTAAAACTCAAAACTATGAGAGAGAAGCTTAAATTTGGGGACTAACCACTTGCTGGATGTGTTTGAATTGTATTCAACATGCATGGAGAATATAACCCCACATCCAAACCTGGACAGTGATGGATCAATAGCTGTGGGTCCTTCCCTGTCATAATGATCTTGAACAGTGACTCTAGTCACACAACTTTCTTCACAGGTAAACTGAACGCTGAGATAGTCTCACACTAGGATATACATGCTTAGACATAGGTTCAATTTCTGCTTGGCTTGAACTGGACCTTGAAGAAAAGATGCTCTGCGGAAAGGGGGGAAAAAGGGAGGGGGTTATGTCCCAGGTATGAGCAATGGAGGAAGCAGGAATCCTTAGCCCATTGTCTCAGTGACTAGTGTTTGTAGGAAGTGGTTGGAAGAGATTTGGAAAAGTCCATTGGAGTCAAGTTTGATTGACAGGCCTAGAGACAGAGGGTATCCCATGGGATTACACATTAGAATCCTCTTGGGAAATTAACACAGATATCACTAATTGGACCCAACTTCCACAGATACAGAGTCTGTGGGTAGGCAACCCAGGCACCTATGTTTTTTTCTATGCACCTCGTCATGCTAATGGCAGCCAGGGTTGAAAACCAGTGTCATAAACAAAGGGAAGCCAATGACCATGTGGGATAACAGCTGATGCCTGTGAACCTGCAGATATAGCATCTCCAAGTGCTGTGGCCTGTGAGGGACTGGATAGGGCTTGTAGATGTTAATGTGGAAAGATTTTTAAAGATTATACTCACATTCTTTTATTACTCGCAGAAAGGTAATTAGAGATGGCTCAGTATTTGAGTTTATGAATTGATTTTAAGAAACTTAAATACCATGCATTTATGCCTGCAAACGCTTTCTCCTATGAGTGTGTTTGTTTATTAACGGCACAGAGTCTTGCAGCCGTGGGAAGAAAATGTGCTAAACCTGGTTCTAACCTGTTATCCTGGCTTGCTTCTCCTCCTCTGATGTGGTTTTAGTACCACACCTACACATCCCTTTTCATTTTCCTTCAGGAATTTGGTCCTGTGCCATGTGTCCAGGAAAGGTTCAGTAAGTGTTAATTAACTTTGATTTCCAAGGAGGGAAATTCTACAGAGAATGGTGATCAGTTCCGTCTCTTTTCTGCTGGAGGGAGAACAAAAATAATTGCAGCAGTAGAAAATATCTGTTGAGTCTGACGTATGTGTGTGTGTGTGTATTAGGGAGTGGGGGTTAACCTGCTTCCTTTAATTAGAGAGGGTTGGGTCATAATTTGAGAGGTTAATGAGGAATCTCCTGGATCTTAGCCTGCCTCTCCAACTGTCAGGTGCTGGGACAGGGAAAGAGATTGAAGAGCTCCAGAGAGGATTTCCCTGTATATGGTATGTAATATGTTACACCTCTCACCTCCCTTCATGTCCTCACTTTGAACTAGTTGTTCAAACCCCCACTTACTTACATTATATTCATTCTTCTTTCCAATGCTATCTGGATTTGTCTCCAGAATTCCAAATTATTTTCTTCCTTACAAGGTTGTTTCTTATTTTAGAAAGTGACATTGCCATCTATTGTCACCCAAGCTAAAGCCTGAAAGTCATCCCAATCCACTCTTTGCCCTCTTCACCTTCTTTGGTGTCTCCCACTCTCAACCTGCCACATCTAAAAGGTACTCTCTATTCCCACCACCTCTGCCTGTCGGAGGTCCTCCCTTTTGCATTTCCCTGCATCTGGACTCTCATTCTCCAATCCACCTGCTGCTTCCTCTGTGCAGGGCTCATTTTTCTCAAGCACATGTAGGGAGAACTTTCTTGAAATATCTTTGTGCTTCATTATCCCTTCAACACCTGTCTGCTCTTTCCTTGTTGGTCTTGCTGCAGTCATGACCCATGTCGGAGACTCAGCCCAGGCAAATTCCCATGTGGAAAATCCCCTTGTTAGTGGTCAGGACATCTGCAAACCCCACGAAGCACAGCTTGAAGCCTGGGACATCTGGAGGACATGCAGGTGCTGTGGACGGGAAATCTCCGATGTCCCTACTGGAGTAGGGGGTGAACAGAGACAGTTTGAGGTTTTCCCTCCACTGTGTATGGAGTGAAACCCATTCATGGCGTGAGACTATCCAATAGTTAGTATATTTGCATTCCTCTCCTAAGTACATCTTTTCTGCCCCCGCAAAGAACTTTTATTTTCCTCTAGGATCCTAGAAGAACCCCACCTCCTTCCTCTGGACCGCAATGTGGTGAGAACTGGGGTTGGTTTTTGTCTATGCTTTCAGGATAGCCCTTCCCACATGCAAGGCCATGCCTAATGGTGTGGGTGACACACTCCCCAGGGTCCTACAGTGTCAGGTGGATGAGGCTGGGTATCTGGTAAATACCTCTCCACCTTGGTTCGGTGCTCCCTAGTGGTCTCTTCAGTTCTAGAGGCCATTTTTGCTGGCAGAGCAGTCTTAGGTCTTCTGAGCCCTGATCTTCCTAGTTATCCTCGATTTTATCTCAAATCCAGAAAACACTGGAGCCTCAGGCTGTCTATGCACATAGGAGTGATGCCACCTGTACTTTGAGACTTGATTGAGCTCATTCTAACTGCCCTGTGTATTCCAGCCCTCTCTTTGACAAGGCAGGCATATCTCCCCAAAGATGGGGTAAGGCCCTGTAACACGAGAGAGTAAAGATGGTGGTGTGAATGGGAAAGAACTTCATCATTTTTATTTCTGGGGGAGACGACAAAACTGGCTTGAGAGCCCTGTAAGAGGACAGTAGGGAAACTTACCCCTGTTTATGACCGTTACCTATGAACACAATGTTTGAGATGCTGTTAACTTAGGTTACCCCACGGGCATAGTAAGACTTTAAGATCTAACCCAAACATCTCTTCCTTGTGATTTTGTTTATTTCTTTTTTGTTCATTCTTATTTATTTTAGCATCATCCCAGAAGATCTCCAGATTGATAAAAGAATGGTGTATATATAGGACTAGAGAGGTATTGGTTTTAAGCCATGTGGGGATACAGATTTAGGGATTATGCAGTGATTACTAACTCTTTCCTGTATGATCATACTAATTCTTCAGTTTAGATACTTCATCCTCCTAGCCACTCTCCAGAAAGGTCAAGAATGATTCAGTCCTCTCCTAAATTACTCTCACAAAATCCACATCCCATTCATGGAAGCAAAAAAGCTTTTCTCTTAGCTTGAAGTTTCCTTCCAAGGCTCTCTACACCTTAGATACCAGGGAGTCCATAAAATCAACATGCTTAGGTTTGCTTGGTTTTCTTTTTCTGAGGAAGATTAGCCCTGAGCTAACATCTGTTGCCAATTCTCTCCTTTTTTTGCTTGAGGAAGATTAGCCCTGAGCTAACATCTGTGCCAGCCTTCTTTTACTTTATATGTAGGTCGCCACCACAGTGTGGCTGATCAGTGGTGTAGATCTGTGCCCAGGACCTGAACCTGCAAACCTGCGCCACCAAAGTGGAGTGCACTGAACTTAATCACTACACCATGGGGCTGGCAACACGCTTAGATTTTAATTTGGGAACTTCTATAGGATTCTACAGTCCTAGACAGCAGAGCAGAGGTCTTGACTGTGTTTCTGTTTTCATTCTATCTTTTTGCAGGTATTTGTACACAGAAAACACATAGAAAGAAAATCTAGGTATTCAATGCCTATCTGCTGCCAACAGAACCAGGCAGCCATTTTATAAAATTGGAGTTTGCTACTATTAGCCCTCGTTGCATTCTTTCATTTTGGTGGCACTAAATAAATCTGGTAAAGGAAGAATGTGTGTCTTTGTACCCTTATTAGTCCATTAAAATAGAATAGAACCTTGTACTCCTAGTGCCTGAGCCTTTGCTAGGGAGCTGGTGGTCTTCAGGACTCGGCAGGGGGAATGGGTATTTTCCAATATCCATGACTGATGAGTGCAAAGAATTGCCTTCATGTGTTCTGTGTGTGTTTTTATCAATTGCCCAGATGTAATTGACTATCTATATGACACAATGTTTTCCTCAAGACCTACTTGCATTTTCCATGAACAACTGTGAAGTGGCGTGATCCACAGGTGCCTTCTGGGAGAAGTGGTTGAGGTCAGAAGCCCGGTTCTGTTGTGGTGGCAGAGGTAAGTGAAAATTCTTTGTGGGATTACAAAAATGGACTGAGGACAGAGATATAGCGGACCTATCTTGGAATACATTAATATGATATTGTATGGAAGTGGGTTTCTCCACCATTGTAGCTGAGGTGAAATCTCGAGCTGGCCTGGTTCTCCAACTCCCTCCCCTCTTCTCTAAGTTGAGGTGAGAAGATACTTTCTCTTCCATGGCTCTCGCACTTCCTGTGGGTGTCATGGCCTCACTTCCTTTTTGAGGCTTACAAGTGTCCTAGACTTTTGAGGAGGGGGCTGTTCCACATAGGAGGATTTGGCTGAACTGAGCTGTCTGGATGCCTCCCATGTGTCACCACTGTCAGAGTGCAGGCAATTGTTGATGAGATGCCCTTAAGGGACAGCTGGAGCTGTCCTCAGGGCAAGCAACACTAGTGATGTTCACTCAAATGGAGACAGACAATCAGAGCAGGCAGGGTTAGCTACCTCAAGGTTCCCTGGCTCTGGCCACTGGAGGTGCTCACTCAGAGGCTGGGTCATCTCTCTGGGTTGATTCC